ATGCAAAAAGCAAGATTTAAGGTGCAGATAACTCTGGATACCATTCTCTCTAAAGAGTGATGGATGGCTTTACCACTATGTTTAGGTTCACTCAGAAGCAGGGCTGTTAACATAGGAGGAGCAGTTAAGTTACATGTAGCACTTTATCCCTGGCTACATGTAGAAACATTTAAATTAATCTGGTTAATGGCTTTCTGCCCTGTGTCTTCCCCACAGTCACTTTTCAAGCATCTGAATAAACAAGGACCTTTGCACTATGCCAAGCAGCAGAATGAAGCTCTCTTGTATCCTTGGGGGAAGTGAAGTCCAGACTCCTGGACCCTTCATACTGAGCCCTCAACCTCTCCAGACACTCAGGTATAGTCAGTATGCCCCAGCTAATCTTCAGCATCATAATAGAAGATAAAGGAGAGAGAATTTACTGCCTAGGACTCAAAGCTCATAGAGTTTTATAGATCAATAAGAACATCCTGAGTTATGCCCAGGGGCAAAAAGGAAGCCAGTACAGACTTCAAAGACCTTGTGTAATATATTCCTTATGGCCAATATTACAGATTAAGCAGAGCAATGTTCAACACAAGTCATTGAATCTGACTAGAATGAGAACAGACTACACACTGTGTAAGACTATTTTGGAGACTATAAGGCTAACTTAGAGCCTTCATCTTTGAGAATTTATCACAACATTTAACTAATGATAGCAAAATATATTTTAAGTCTGAAAACTCATTCTAAGTTAAGCAATAAGAAACACCTTTTTATTCTGAACTTCATTGAGGAAGAATAACCAAATTTATCTGATCAGAATTTCTTCAAGCAACTTCTAATCTCTCTCAGGAAGACCCAGAAAAAGTGAAAGACTGCCAGCTCTAGGTTTGATAAAGAAAGTATAAATCAAACTAACTGACAAACTCCTCAGAAGCCTGCTTACCTTTCAAAGCAGGGAGGCTGACACTACTGACCAAGAAACTGAAATCACAATATTTTCTTACAATATATGTAACAAGTGGAAAACATAAATAAAATTAAAACAATGTCTACTCTGTGTCTAGTGCATAGAAAAATGAGGTAATCTATATTATCTTTCCTGTGGCAAATTCAGGGCCAAACTTTTCATTTCCAAAGGCTGTAAGAGGCTTTTTGTGAGGTCTTCCTTCTCTAAGTGACAAGACCAAGAGATGTATGTAGCAAACCTAATGGTTTAATCTAGACTAAATTTGAAAGGATGATCATTGGCTTTCATTGAAAGCTGAAAAGGTTGAGGCCTAGCAAGCTCCTTGTTGACCCAGCTCTATAACAACTCCAAAGTCCCATTCATTTTCCCTGTGAGAAAATTATATGCTTTATTTCAAAGAAAACAGCTCTCAAGGCAGCCTCTGATTTTTAAGACTTGTCTAATGTGGGAAAATCTCTTTACTAGGAAGAGGTCCCCTGACTGGTATACACGGGTACTGTGGATAACTGGAAAATTGGTTCCATGCTTTTAATTACAGTGGCTCAGTTCAACACAGAGACTATCCTGAAGTGTAGGTGAGATGTGTAAAGATCTGTGTGATCTGTGAATATGAAAAAAAATGAAGTAGGACTTCAACATCAACAAGGTTCTCTGTTGTTAAAAAAAAAAAATAAAAAATGCTCAGATATTAATGATCTGTAATGTACATATATTTTTTGATTATTTGCTTAAGAAAACTTGTTTTTTAAAAGGAAGGTAAAATGCACATCTTTGCTTTTGGGGTTAGATTAGATTCTCCATGAGAGTGGAACTTGGCACTTTGCAAGGGGTTAGCAGTGATCCCACTCCTCCATACATTACCCTGCTGCAAGATCTCGCTCTGCCTAGCAACATTCTTGTTATTCCAGAACTGGGTTGGGCTAATCATAATAGATGCAGGCAATCAACTCAACTTCCCCACACACAGCTCTGCCAGTAAAACTCACTTCACCTTGCAACACTCCTGTTTTTCTTGTGTCCTTTAAGCAAAAGCTATCAGTTTGGCACTCATTGTGGATGTGTCCTCACTCCTGCTGAAATCCAGGATAACTTTCTTAGTGATGCAAGAGGAAAGTGTTGCTGATATAGACAAATATCTGCTTGTGACTAGGGTGAAACAAAGTTGTCTTCTCTGAATGACAGATTTTGATACTGGCAATAGATGTAACTAACCTGTGTTCCACTTTTGATTTTATTACGGCAATAAAATCCAGTGTGACTTTAGATACCAACTCAGTTATAGAGTGTAAGTGAGATTACAGTCTAACCTTTACATAATATGGCCTTCTGCAAGGCTGTGCTTTTTCCCAAGAAAAGGGCTTCCTTTCTAGTTAGAACATAAGAGTTTTCAGTGTTGATCACTGTTGTTTTATTTATTTTTAAAATCTACAGAGCATTCCCCATGATGCAGACAAGCACTGGACTACAGGCAACATCTCAGTTTACACTGGTGTTTGTATCTGGGCCATGCAATTTTATGTAAAATCAAGTAAGTGCATGCCACAATAAAAAAGTATGCCAAAATAAGGATTATTCTTCCAAAATTTTGAAAAAAGATTTGCATGTTTTCTCTTTGTTTCCTTTATCACACGAAATAATACATTAAAATGCTCTAGGCAATGTACAAAACTAAAAAAGACTAGTTTGGTGAATGAGCATGGTAAGAGGCTATGAATATGGATACATTTGTACTAAGGAGCCTAGAGGAGACACTTTTTATGTGTGGTGATACAAAAATACATACTTATAACTCTGCACACTAGGGAGAGAATATTCCCCTAAACCAAGTAATTTCCCTTGCAGTACTCCCTGTTGATCAAAGCTGCATAATTTAAAGCATCTAGAGGCAGCTTTAAATTATTCACAATATTTTTTAAAAATAATTTTGGTATATTGCAGACAATATTTGTGTAACTAGCAGTCTTCTGTAAGTTCTATAAATTTTGCATCCTTATACAGCTCATCTCAGTTTGAGAAGAGGGTACATAACTTTGCATAAGTTGGGCAGGAAAGATTCATTCTGATACTCTGTTAGTCACATCACACCACAGTGTCAGGCATGCAGGACCATACGGAATGGCAGGACAGAGCCGGCAGTCTCTAGCTCTCAGCCTGAATGCTGCTGTGTGCTGGTTCCTAAGAGTTTTCTGATACCCTCAAAAGCCCCAAATAGGAATCCTGCAATTAGTGCATATAACTCCTCCTTTACTGCAGTCTTCTCTCCTATTGGTGAAAGGTCTTCGCAGCTCATGTAGGGACCCAACCCCTTTTGTGGGTTTTCATTCTGAAGCTGTCCACAACTTTACACCTGAATGAATGCCAAACCCCTCTGAATATATAAAGGAAACCTGCAAGAGCAATTTCAGTTACACAGAAGAAGCAGAAGGAAAAGATTTCATCGAGCGTTGTCAGACAGCCTGAACCAGCCATGCTTCTCCCTGCCATTCACTTCTATGGCTTTCTCCTGGCTTGCATCTTCACGAGAAGCTACTTGGCTTTCAAGAACGATGCCACAGAGATACTTTATTCTCACGTTGTTAAACCGGCTGCGGCGAGCCCAAGTAGCAACAGCACGTTGAATCAAGCTAGGAACGGAGGCAGGCACTACACCAGCACCGGATCCGACCGTAACAGTGAGTATCCCACCGGCGGCACTTCCTCCGCAGCCGTGGGCGGCAGCCCCGCCTGGCCCGGCCCCGGGAGCGGGAGCGGAGCCCCGGCCGGAGCCGCGCATCCCGTGGCAGCGCCCCGGCCCCCAGCCCGAGCGCGGCGCTCCAGGGACCCGGCGCCCGGGGGAAGCCGGCCCCGGGGAAATGCTGCTGGCTCCGGGCCGGGATCTGCCTCGCCGGGCGGCCTCCGAGCCAGCCGCCCTCCCACCCCCGTGCTGGGAAGTCCTGTAGGACCGGCTCTCTCGGGCAGGTTACTTCCTGAGGGAGGTTCATCCAGGAATGCCGAGTTCTATGGCATCTACCCGGCAGGGAAGCGAGATAAAGAAAGAGGAGAGAGAGGCATTTCCAGAGCGCTCGCTTTTTTGACTCACCTCCCACTGCGGGTAGGGGAGGTGTCTGGGCTACTTTTCAAGTGCAATAAAAAACTCTGAATTTTGTTCCCGCTGTTTAGTTTTACTTCCTGCCGTAGTACTTACCCGCTTAATACCTCCAGCAAAAGTAAACAAATCAGCTTGTAATTTACCTATGATCTCTGCTCTAACTTGCCTTTTTTATATCCAGTCTTTTCCTTCTGAGTTTTATGTATATAAGTCAGATACGTGGGGATCTGGAAACCTGCTGATTTTATGTGTTCCCTCCCTTGCACACCCCCTTAAAATGAAAGAAATCCAGATAGAGAAACATACACACACACCAACCCACCCACAGCAACTTGATAAAAATAGTCATCCCTGGAAAGTGAAGGCAACAAGTGACACCGATACCTTTCAGCTAAGCCAGGTGTGTCAGCTTCTAAGAATGCTAAGGGTTTAAATGCACAGGAAACGTCTCATCATTATGAGATTACTGGGAGAGCTCAGTAGGTATTCATTGTCACTGAGCTGTCACTGGTGAAAAGCTGATCCGGGGAAGACAGAAAAACAGAAGGAAAGACAAACTTAGATCTGTGACCAGATGCTTCCAAGTACATTCCTGAGTGCAGCTGCAGGAAGGCAAGCTTGAATCTTTTCTGCAAAGCAGGCAGTAGAGCAGCCCCGTCAATATTCCCTGGGATCAGCCTGCAGATTTACAGTCCCCTCTGCCTGCCCACCCTGAGACACAGAGGACAGGGTGAAGCAATCTTAACGCAGTGCCCAGTTCAGAATTTGCTTCCAAAAATCCAAGTAGAAACAGAAGCAGCTTGTAGCTGTGATATGTAGATGTACCTTCAAAGTCTTTTATGATTCATTCTGAAATGTTTCTAGTAATTACTTCTATTTTAAAAGCGTTAGTTAATTGCATTGTCTGTGCCGTAATTGTCCTTCGGAAAGAGGGAGAGCACAGACAGTAAAGATTGCTCATTAAAATTAAGCACACTGTGGGCGTTTATTTCAAAGTATAATTACTGAAATAAACAGTTGTGTTTATTGTAGGGTGCAGAGCCACACATAGAGACGGGTACAAACATGTCTGTGTGAGAAGCTCTGCATGTTGACTCTGTCAGCTGCCTGAGAGAATTTGCAGGATCCTCTATGTTACATATAATATACAGACTACAGACTACTGTTACACAGATGGTGCTCTCTTGAGGGTGAAAGGACCCCTCTGAAATTGTTACTGCTAATCATTCAAACTTCATGGGCAGAACCCCATTCGTTGGTAACTTCAGCTGTTACCACTTCTGCAGTGTCTGCTCAGAGCCGCAGAGTTCATGGAAGAGTTCAGTCCACTGTAACAATGGAATGAGAAGAAACACACTGTTTGAAATTAATTTAAAAGCATTTCAACTGTTTCCAAAGCAATTTTTTCCCCCTTGCTAATGATCCAACATAATTGTTGTAAACATCACAGAGCAGATTCCCTAGATTGAGAACTAGCAGGAAACATTTCTTCCCTTGGGGCATTTTTTCTCTTCTAAAAGGTATGTCCCTGAGAAGAAGTATAGAGAATAAAATTGCCTCTTCTACCACAACTGCTGAAGTGCATGTCATTAGGATTTCTTTATGCTGTGGTATTATCCAGAGATACCATCAGCACTTGAGGCCCTTGTGCTGGGGGACACAAGAGTAAAGAGATGTCCTGTAAAGATTACAGCCTACTTTAACTTCTGTAAAACATACCTGGTTAATGTGAAAATGACTGGTTAAAGAAATCACTCCATTCTGAATCTCAGTGCTTCTTGTTCTATACATTCCGCAGATCGTGTTCAAGTTGGCTGTCGAGAACTGAGATCCACCAAGTACATCTCAGATGGCCAGTGCACTAGCATTAACCCCCTGAAAGAACTGGTGTGTGCTGGTGAATGCCTCCCTTTGCCACTGCTGCCCAACTGGATTGGAGGAGGTTACGGAACCAAGTACTGGAGCAGGCGGAGCTCTCAGGAGTGGAGATGTGTCAACGACAAAACTCGCACTCAGAGGATCCAGCTTCAGTGCCAGGATGGAAGTATAAGAACCTACAAAATAACTGTGGTCACGGCCTGCAAGTGCAAGCGATACACCAGGCAGCACAATGAGTCCAGCCACAACTTTGAGGGAACCTCTCAAGCAAAACCCATCCAGCACCACAAAGAAAGGAAAAGAGCCAGTAAATCCAGCAAGCATAGTACAAGTTAGAAGTCAACTATTTTATGCTCTCTCATCTCCCTCTCCTTGTGCCAAAATTGAACTCACCTGTAACCATTTCCTTTACCATTTTGACTGCTTAAAGACAAGTCTGCCATTGCTGTGTTCTCAGTTGACACTACATGCTTATTGCTTTGACCAAAATCGAAAGGGGCATTCTCAGCATATGGACTTTTTGGGTGATTTTCCAAATGCTCAAGATTGGAAATAATACAAGCCTTCCAAAACCACACTATAAACTTTTACAATTTCTCCAGCCATGGAAGCCAAGAAAATTTGCCAAGAGTATTCACTGAAGTCAATTTTGTAAAATGATGCTTTGTTGTGTGTTTTCCTGAGAACATTTATCACATCTATTGCCTTTTATATCATGTTTTATGATCTTCTGACAACAGCTTAAAATACAACACATTGTATCTGCTTTCAGATTAATTCTAAAAAAAAGTGCTTTGCATGCTCATTTCTCTTATCTCAGTATACCAAAAATTAAAATATGCATGGCAGCAATCAAAAAGTAAAGCTGAACAAACTATTTATTTGTTGTTGTAATTATTTAATGAGCTTTTATGTGTATTTCCCTCCAAAATTTCCTTATGTTTATAGCTTTTCATATGTATCAAAGTATTTTCCTATGATTTGGGGCTGGATTAGAACATACATTTTGTAGATAATGTAAAATAGACATTTTAGCATTTAGGTATATATATTTTAATTTTAAACATTCCTAGTCTTAGGTGTTATTTTGACACAGCAACATAAATCTGTATTTTTCATTCTTCATCTTGTATTATTTTTGTTTAAAAAATGTGCAATCAAAAGACAGATATGACTTCCTTTCAAATTCATTGGTCTCTTTTTGCTTTTTTTACAAAAATAAACACTGCTAAAAAACTGTATTGTCTGGCTCTCTATATGGAAATGCACACATTTCAACCAGTCACAACGCTTAAACTTAAAAAAGGGAGAATATTATTTGGTTTAAAAAAGTCTATCCATAAAATTTAACATAGAAATAATCTTTCTCAATGTAAAAATCTTATATAACCATTTAACAGATGGTGCTTATTAATGGTCCAAGTCAGGTCCTTATTTAACAATTCTCAACCTCTACAACTCAGAAGAAGTGTGTATTTGAGAAATTTTACGAGCTAGTGAGACACTGCCATTTTTTTTCTTTTCATTAGTAATGATCAAGTCAGTATAATGGCATAAATTACATATGGTTTCATTTTTTCTATAGAACCAATAGAATCCTGCACTTTTATTCATAGATTCTTATAGAATGTATCAGAAAATTAGTAATTAATCTACTTTTCAACACATAGTGCATGAATCACTTGTTCTCAATCTTTCAAGATGTATTTAAACACTATGGGCATGATTTCATCATGGGATTGTGCTGTTCTTAAATCATTAACTTTTACAATCCATTTGCACCTGAAGTAAAAATTACACAAGAGGAGAGTAATGAAAAATCTTACCTGATAAGGTCTCACCCAAGTTCTCTTTGACCTTCTTTTTATCTCATCCTATTTTGCATTTTAATTCCAAAAGATTCTTCATGAAGTTCTTGGCAGAGATCTTGGTCATTAATGTAGAACTGTTTGAAAATCACTGCTGCTGCCTGACTTGACTTACTGAATCCTAATTTTTATTCACAAAATGTAATGTTTTTTCCTCAAAGTTACTTTCAAGAATTCACTTTCAAATTTGCCATATGTAAAAGAGAGATACGCTTTTTTATTCAATTTTAAGTGATCCACACTATGTAGTACAGTTAAAAGCCCCCATGGCATTAATGAACTAGTTGTTTCAAATTCAGTTTTGTGACTGAAAATATCCAAATTAATGGACCAGAGACCATTTATACTTAAATTCTCTGATCTTAAAGGTGCTTCTTTTAAGCATAAAAGAAGAGATGGTGAATAAAGGAGTTAGCAGGGAAAGAACTGAAATGACACTGCTGCTAGGCATATCAGTTCAGCAGACTTAGAGACTTTTTTTTCATTTTAACAGACATTACAGTCTTGTTCAATCATTTCATGACAGAAGATTTTTTCCCAAATGCTAAACATTTTTAAATTGCTAGCCAGCTACTTGTTCAAGATGATAAAACAAAATATGGAGATAATGAACTGAAATATAACCAATTTCAATGCCAACAGTCACTAAAAATCAGTAAAGCTGGTCTACCTGTTCTGTGTTTAACTTCTAGAAATAAGGGTGAAAAAACTGCACATCTTGCTCATAACTCTTCTTCAATCAGTGAAGCTGGACTGTGGGGAAAAAAAAAACAAAACATGTTTAATATCAGTTTACATTTAGAAATAGGGATAATATATTCAAGATTGTCCTTTTAAGCAGAACTACCCAAAGAGGAATAATCTGACACACTTCTGCTAAAATGACTTTGTGAAATTTTGCTGGACATGCTATAGAAAGAACATGGGGCCAATTTGTAAGTCTGGTATATTTGAGAGAACATGAGGGAAACCAGCAGGAGCTGTGTCCATCAGCAGCAACTTTGACATGCCACGTGAGTTAGCTAAGTTTGCTTCTTTGGCCATGACTGGCCTTTTGTGGGAGAGATCTGCAGGAAAGCAGCACTAGAAATATGTTAATGTAGAATTTTCTGAAGGAATAATGTTACTCTCTGATGCAACTTGTAGCTCAGAATGCTTCAGTGTAGCCTATACAATCTGTCTTCTGTTTCATCCTGTTACATGTGAACTCGCAGGGCTGCATCCAAGGATCCAGACAAAAGGCGTTACTCTAACTAAATTGACATCTAACTAGTTTCTTGAGGAGAATCTCTAACATGTAAAGTTGCAGTGGGTAGGATATGGGCCATTGCTCTTGTGGAGGTCAGTGGCCAAAAACTCAGTGAAAGAGTATTGTTTAAACTGAAATAATTTTAGACATCATACATCTCAAGTTTGCTTCCGAGTTAAAAAGAAAATACAAACATGTTAAAAACTTCACCTAAAGTATTAAGTCAAATAGATAGAAGAAGTAGGTGAATGTTTTGAAAAAGTACAGTGTAGAGGCCAGATTAGATAATTTTTTTTTCATGCATTAGACTATAAATAGTCTAGATTTATTACACTAAATTATACAGAAGCTGGCTTTCTCAATGATATGCAATCATATAGACAGATCAGAATTCCAAATGCTTTCTTACAAAGCATTTCAAATATCTAAAAAAGAACCTAATAATTTTATAATTTCTCATACTTGCTTCTTTAGAAAACTAAAAGTGAATAAATTAGAAATAATCTGTTAATCTGCCATCACTATTTCACTACTTTTGAGTTGATGAAATCTGCTCTCAGCTAAGGGGTAAATTGTTTTATAATGAGTGGAAATCAATTTTTCTTAGACATTACTAGAAACAAACTTAGCCAGATGCTGATTGTTTTGATAGCATGGAGGCACTCAGAGGCACACTTCTTAGAGGCAGTGGTAGATAGTATGTGTCATTAAGACATTTATCAACTGTGGAAGTCATAAGGGCCTGACATTTGCAATCTAGACTAGAAAGGTCCTTAACAAGTTTATTTATTCAGTTATTTAATAATAGTAACAAATCTGCTGCTCTCGCCTTTCCAGCAGCCTTGGAATCAAAATCACCCAATCCAAACTCAGTCATTTGTTTGGAAATAAAGCAGACATTTGAATAACAGCCTTCAAAATACCTAAAAGATTTCTGCTAGTAAATAACTCTAGTCCTTCTAACCTTGACCTTTATATCCTTCCTGAAGAAGTACAACATTAATCAAGAAAGGACTGTTCAATACATTCCACTGTGAGAGTCTTGTTGCTACAGTATTAACCTGGAGGTGTTCAGTTGAAAATTATATGGAATCCTTAGAGTTGGAAGGTATCCTATTCTCATGATGCATTTCCTTTCCCAGAGGCCAGGCAAGGGACTTTGATTTTAAGTTCATTGACATACATATAAACATCACTCCAGGCTAAACTTGAAAATTCTCTAGAGATTTATGAGCTAAGCAGACATTCTGTCACTGGATTTGCTAATTTTGCCTGAACATCGCCCCCACAAAAAAAAGCCTGCCCATGCATCTTTCTGAAAGACATCCAGCCTTTCAGTTCACTCCTGTGAGTTATGTGGACTGACACACTAGAAAAGTGTGATTTACAAGAGATATTGCCTACCACTGAGTCAATATTCAAACATCTACCTCACTCAGTACCTCCATGACAAGAAAATACTCTTAATTTTTTAATTAGGGTTATTGAACAACATGCCATGAAAATAAATAGTCTCTAATAATTGCTGAGAGAAATCTTTAGAAACACTGGACTATAACTCCATTTTGGAATTTGCATTTCCTTACCTTAATTTGATTTGACAATAAAAGTGAAAATAGGTGTTATTACATCACCTGAAGTTCAGGCCTTCTTAATACTTCTTTACAACCACAAAGAAATACAGAGGATGTCTTAACAGAAATGAAAATCTGGACAGACTCTTTAATAGAGATATTTGTGGAATATGGTACTTCTTGAATGTAATGGAAAATGATAAAATAAAATAAAATAAAATAAAATAAAATAAAATAAAATAAAATAAATAAAATAAAATAAAATATCTCAGTAATCAGAAAAGAGGCCTAAATCAAAATTCCCTGAAATGATAATGATAATATAGTTCTTTTTACTAAACTGCAAAGGTAACTCCTGTCAAATGGTGATTTTTACTACCATCTGCTTAAGTAAAAAATACTAAATCACAAAAAAAAAAAAAAAAAAAAAAAAGAAGTTTTGAACATTTTGTCTATTTCTTGTCCCCTGGTCTATTTTAGTAGTTGTACTAAATACTGTATAATTGTCTCACTTTTTAAACCCTTAGCTGTTTTGAATTACATCACTACAGCACACTTACTTTTTGATACATAAATATTTAAAATCTCTTTTTAGAATATCTGGATGCATAATTTTTTAATTTTGACTACTGAGAGGAAAAGCAATGCTCTGACTTGGCTTAGGAGTTCCACATTTAATTTGTTTTGTTAGCCCCAGTGAGAAGTGTCTTAGTGAAGAAGCTGTAAAGCAACTTAATAAAAGCATAAACTATTCTGTGAAGTCTGATGTTTGGTTGGATAAAAAAGAGCTATCCAGGCACAGTCATTAAAGTTCTTTTATATAAAACAGTGGAGAATTGAGAGAGAGGGCCTAAGGAGAAAAGTACTTGCCTGGTCCTACCACAAGAACAGCCACTATGAAATGGAGTGACTAAGCAAAGTTTTAAAACACTCTGCAGCACAAAGACTTTGTTTGAATTGCAGCTGAAGCAAGTTTAAGCATCTGTGGCTTGTTAGAGTATTATTTTATTTATTTGCTTATTTATTTATTCATTTACTTTGGGATGGGTTGGAGAAAGCCTTTTTAGATTCCCTATGGCCATGAAGCTGGGATGGGGAACAGAGGTCTGAATATTTCTAAAATAAAAAGCTGCAAAAATTTTGGTTTTAGCAAGAAACACTTGCTTTTGGTGTATTTTTTCTTGTCTTCATTGAAAAAGCCTGCTGAAACTTTTGCTTTTGTGCATCTTTATTGAAATTTTTAGGACAGTAGCCAGAACAGCTTATACTACCTAGGAATTGGTTGTATTAATGCACTGCATTATTTGCTTTCAGATACTGAAATGCCTGAACTTGGGGATGTCTAGAAGAGGAGAAAGAAGAGAAGATGGATGAAAATAAGGGAACAAAATGGCACATGGAGGACAGCATATGCTGTGCGTTCTTCATTTTCTTCTATCCTCACAACTTTTCATAAGACTTCAAAAGACTTGTTCCATCTGCAGATTGCCAAGTGCATGAGCCCATGAACATTGCTACCCCTGGAATGTAGTAGACTGTCAAGTCTAAATACATGTGGTAGAAAACCATTTCTGAGTGTCTCTGTGCCTTCACTTCCCATGCAAAGGGAAGAATGCACAGTGTGTCTGTCCTATTCCACACTGAACCAGGGAAGTCAGGGAGACTTTAGAATCTGCCATCTTCACAGAAATGCATATTCCACTGCACTGTTCATATCTTCTGGTGAGTGACCACAGCCTCCTATTTCTGAGGAGAATGAATATTGCCTAAGCTGACAAGATTCATGCACAGGTTTCTTAGAAAGCTATCAGTCTGCCATGTACCTGGACTTCCTTGTTGAAGAATTTGGCTCAAAATCTTGCTTACCACCTACATAAAATATATCAAATATCATATACATGTATAAAATTACAGTAATCTGATTTTGTAAACAAGACCATCATGAATACAGTAGTGAGTTATACATGAAACCTCTTCTAGGTGTTACACAACTACTGTCCCCATATTTTCTTTTGATCTTTTTGTTATTAGTTATGAATCTTGACATCTCTCCCAGAAGAAAATGTTTGCAACATCTTTTGCCAAGAATAAAGTAAATATTAAGGTTTTCCATTTTTATTTGCTTAATTTAATACTTCTGGCATAGGTTTTCCATAAAAGCCCACATTAGACACACCATTCAAGCCACTATCTGAATTTTAAGAACATAGTACTTTGTGGTAGTCAACGCAAATACTGCAGTCCCTTGCAAATCTGTTCATTTCTGTCCTTCCCTTTGAAACTTCTGGCTCTAGCAAAATCACATCCTCTTTCCCATGGTGTTTCAATGACCAGGCTCGTTTCTTTACAATATTGACATTACCTGTCCCACAATTCCTTTTCATACACACACCTCCCTCCCCCCCCCACCCCACACACAGAGAAAGATGCATTACTTAATCCATTTTCTGAAGCATTCAGTACTGAAGAAAACAACACATGAAAAAACACCATCGTATTGGCACAGGTAAGTTCTAGGAAGAATTTTTAAAGTGAGTTGGACTGCAATACTCAGAGAAACAGTAGCAGGATACAGAACATTTTTCATCAAGTAGTTGGTTTGCATCCAGCTAGATTGGTATGTTGGAAAATGGTTAACCTTTTATGGTTGCTCAGCAGTGTATGCTAAACAAGCTGAGTCTCTGTATGAATTGTTGGACGACAGGCAGTCACATTGCTGCAGTTGGGAAAAATCTGTAACCTTGATCTTTCTAATAAATTAACAGGATCAAAAGATTGACCCTTTTCAATCTGACATTTTCATGCTAGAACTGCAAAAGTCAGCAAAGGATAAGGGAAAGAATGAGGACAAGACTACTGTTTTTAAGGACTATCATCCTGCATGTTTTGCTCACTATAAAGCAACTCTTTGGAAAGAGAAAAAAGATTCA